AGGACAGTGTTTATAAGCCTTGTAATGAGACAGCCCTTTGAGACCTTACCTCTTTTTGCTTGTAATTTTGATAAATGAAAGTCTAATTCATAAAGGATATTGTGATTGAAAAGCACCTTTGGATCTCATACACATTAATTTAGATAAATGTTTGGTGCAGTACCATAAAATTAGGAAGTTTACCGAACTGAAAACTGATAATACTTCAACAGGGAAGATAAGTTGTGGTGTGTTGGCATGAACTCATTTACTACATATCTTTTAAACACACAGTTGTTTTGCTGCTTTAAAACTAGACGGGGTAACATTGAAAGCTGAATATACATTTGAGAGCTCACATTCCTTTAACTGCAATTTGTTTATTGGTAGATTTTAATTTTAATAACACAAGAGTAATGTAAAGCCTTTTTTTTTTAAAGACAAAGCAGAATACAGACGGTTGTGATATGAACAAAAACTTATTTTATCAAGCTGACTCATGCATGCCTAAAGGAGGTTATTGACTATTTCTTGTTAAGAACCAAGTTCCCTTTTGTGTTAATACATAAGATTCTTCAATTATCTCTCAAACTGAAGTCAGTTCACCAAGAATCTCTGAGACATCCTGGGATTTTCAGGTTAAGAGATATCCAGAGGTAACTATTATTCATTTATTCAGTATTTGTAAGGACTTGCTCTGTCCTCGGGAGTGTGCTGAGAACTGAGCATACCAAGACAGAAGGATGTTTCTCGTCATCAAGGAAGGAGCTTCCAGGCTCTGTAAAGATAACAAGCACACAACCAATTATGATACATGTAACTACTGTAGTAGCAGGACTCATGAGATATGATGGATGTATAGGGAAAGAGCACACAGACGGGGAACTCGGGATGTGTAGACTTGAACTTCAGTTCAGCACATGTTTGTGGCACACGTGCTTAGTACCAGGCACTGATCCTGCAGAATGAAGCTACAGCCCAGAGGAGAAGACATACGCATAATGGCGAGCACCCACTCAGTGTGGTTGAGTCCTATGTAGACTGCGACAGTATGCGTCATTTAGGAAAGGCACCCAAAAGAGGTGAGTTTGCAGGCCAAGTAGGAATTAGCCAAACAAAGTAGGAAAGAGAGAGCATACTTTACTGAGGGAATGCTTTTAACACAGATAAAGAGATCCGAGAAAGCATGACATAATCTGGAAGCTGGAAATGGTTCAGTATTGCTCATGGGAGAGTAAGAAAAGGTAAAACAAAACTGGTAATGAGAGGATAAAAGGCCTTAATCAGTCATCCTAAGGAGCTTAGATTTTATCTTAGGGTATAAGTCTTGCATTGAGTGTTGTTGATTGGAGGAGTTAATAAACAGTACTAAGCAGGAAAATATTTTCAAGTTATTAGTGTTGAAATAAAATAATACTCTGACAAAAATATGAAGGATGCTGTGAATAAGGGGGCTCTCAAAGCCTTCTAAACCAAAATGATCATGGCTTGAATTACAGCTGAGACCATCACCTTACAGGGTGAATCATGTGTCTATGGCTTAATGAAGTATGTTGATCAAAATAGGAGGAGGTGAAGGAACAAGAGATAATTCATTCATTTAGGGAAATGTGGAATTAGGAATATCTAGCTGAAGATGTCTAGTAGACATATGGCCATAAAGGCCTCAGGAGAGAGTTCTTGGTTGTTAATCTTTGGATTTGCCTCTTTGTTCCAAAAGGTGCAAGCTTCAAATTTCTCAAATTAAGATACTAAGCAAGCAACAAACTGCATATAGATAGCTGCCCCCAGAAGATCACTGTTGGGCTGGCTTTATATCACCAAGACTTCAAAGGAAATAAAGATAAGGTTCTGGAGCATTCAGTAATCAGTCCTCAATCTTTTATTCCAGAAATGAGAATCATCTGTGGGCCGATGAAAGACTACACATATAAGCCATTTAAGTCTCCTCACCTTCCAAGCAGCATTGATCTCTAATAGTACTGCTTGTTTTCTTAAGTGTCTATTGAAAGATATATTTAACAATCCATTACTTTATACTGTTAAGCTGTATTTAAACTGGGCTCTCTAATGCTATTATGCAGTAAAAGCTAGGATGACAGAGTATACCTCTCAGCCAGTGACAGTGCTACTGTGACATGACTGTGTACCTCAACATGTATTTTTTACTCCTCTGTGGGCTACCTCTGAGTCAATCTGTTAATGTTTTAGCAAACAGAATTGGCTCTGAATCAGTAACAAAAAAGAATTGTGAATGCTGCAAAGAGAGAAGCTAACACTTTGGTTTACAATGCAAGTTTTACCATGGTTAGATGCTTAACCAACAAATGATTGAGCCAATATCAGTAGACAGGAAAGACTTGGAAATCCCTATATTGGGCCTAGGAAAATTAACCAAGAGTATTCATTGTTCACTGGATTTTTGGCCAAAGGCATGACAAGATTTGGAAAGTAATTACGTGTGTACACAAAACCATAGCATCCCCTGAAACTATGATACAAAAATACTATATAGCAATGATTTATTATGCCTCCATATCAGAAATGGATTTCCCTGGTGGTTCAGCTGATTAAGACTCCACCGGCAGTGCAGGAGACCCTGGTTCGATTCCTGGGTTAGGAGGCTCCCCTGGAGAAGGGGTAGGCTACCCACTCCAGTGTTCTTGGGCTTCCCTGGTGACTCAGGCGGTAATGAACCCGCCTGCAGTGTGGGAGACCTGGGTTCAACCCCTGGGTTGGGAAGATCCCCTGGAGAAGGGAAAGGTTACACACTCCAGTGTTCTTGCCTGGAGAATTCCATGGACAGAGGAGCCTGGCAGGCTACAGTCCATGGTATCGCAAGGAGTCAGATACAACTGAGCGACTTTCACTTTCATTTCAGGAATATATGCAGCATACCAAATGAAATGTGAAAATACTTTTCTAGTTAATGCTGCTCTTTGAACCCTATACCCTAATACTAAAGCTGGAACACAGTAAATTAAACCATATTCCTCCATGTTGAATTCCAACTTCAGGTGACATGAAATATAGGTATTTCTTAGCTATATATATATATATATATATATATATATATAATTTACTTGTAGCTCAGATAATTTCACATTCATTATCACCTGCCAAAGCAAATGTCTAAATGTAAATATTGAAATATTTGTTAAGGAGTCAAATCCATGAGACACTTAAATGCATTGTAATTTCTAACATTCACATGGATTAACATGTTAATGCTAGGTCAACTAATTTTTCTCAGTTTTTTTTTTATTTAATTTTTTTACAATATTGTAGTGGTTTTTGCCATACATTGATATGAATCAGCCATGGATTTACATGTGTTCCCCATCCCAATCCCCGCTCCCGCCTCTCTCCCCATCCCATCCCTCTGGGTCATCCCAGTGCACCAGCCCTGAGCACTTGTCTCATGCATCCAACCTGGACTGGCGATCTGTTTCACACTTGGTAATATACATGTTTCAATGCTGTTCTCTCAGATCATCCCACCCTCGCCTTCTCCCACAGAGTCCAACAGTCTGTTCTATACATCTGTAACTCTTTTTCTGTCTTGCATGTAGGGTTATCGTTACCATCTTTCTAAATTCCATATATATGTGTTAGTATACTGTATTGGTGTTTTTCTTTCTGGCTTACTTCACTCTGTATAATTGGCTCCAGTTTCATCCACCTCATTAGAACTGATTCAAATGTATTCTTTTTAATGGCTGAGTAATATTCCATAGTGTATATGTACCACAGCTTCCTTATCCATTCGTCTGCTGATGGGCATCTAGGTTGCTCCCATGTCCTGGCTGTCATAAACAGTGCTGTGATGAACACTGGGGTACATGTGTCTCTTTCAGTTCTGGTTTCCTCGGTGTGTACGCCCAGGAGTGGGATTGCTGGGTCATATGGCAGTTCTCTTTCCAGTTTTTTTAAGGAATCTCCACACTGTTCTCCATAGTGGCTGTACTAGTTCGCATTCCCACCAACAGTGTAAGAGGGTTCCCTTTTCTCCACACCCTCTCCAGCATTTATGGCTTGTAGACTTTTGTGTCTTTCAGTTACTTTTTGTGCGTTTGAATTTTGGCTGTTTGTACTACTTGCATTGTTGTTTAGTCGCTAAGTTTTGCCCGACTCTTTTGTGACCCTATGAACTGTAGCCTGCCAGGCTCCTCTGCCCATGGGGTTTTCCAGGCAAGAGTATTGGAGTGGGTTGCCATTCTCTTCTGCAGGGGATCTTCCTGACTCAGGGATACTGAACCCACATCTCTTGCATTGACAGGTAGATTCTTTACCCTTGAGCCACCAGGGAAGCCCTTGTACTACTTTATATATATCAAAATAAAGATATCACAGCTAATTCAGTTCAGCCCAGTTGCTCAGTCGTGTCTCACTCTGAGGCTTCCCTGGCCATCACCAGCTCCTGGAGCTTGCTCAGACTCATGTCCATCGAGTCAGTGATGCCATCCAACCATCTCATCCACTGTCATCCCCTTCTCATTGCTAAGGAAATAGCTGTTTTGAAGTATTTACGTTTTACACCTACATCTTTGCTTATCCTTTCTGTGGCTTTTCAGTAACAGCTGTTTCTCCCTTCAGATGTGAATGCTTTCTTGTTTTCTTCATACTTATCTACTTTTGTGAATGATCTGATCAGTTGATTATCTGATTCACACTAAAGTGTAATTATGTAAACCTGTGTAACTTTTATAGATCAGAGAACCTAGTTTGTGGTGAAGTACAGATTTTTTTGTAGAAAGTACAGTGATCTTAGAATGCAAAATTCTAGGTTCCCCAACCATTCATGTAGCTTTCTCCGCCTGTTTCCTCACCTGTAACATTACACCCCTTGCTTTCTCACAGTTATTTAGACTAAACGGAATACAAAACATACATTTTTTTTCTGTAGTTGAAAGTAATATGTAAATGCAGTATATATCTATAAGTAATAGCTTTTTCTCTAACACTCACTGAAAGTAAAACAATCACAGTGACCTAAATTACTATATTTTGGTTGTGATTAGGGACTGAAGAAGACGTGGTAAAGTCAAAGAAAACATTCAGAAGTCAAGCGATAGTGAATCAGAATGCAGAGACAGAGCTTATGCTGGAAGGAGATGACGATGCGGTTAGTCTACTCCAAGAGAAAGAAATCGACAATCTCGCAGGTAAACTTATTTTTTTATTTGTTGTAAGTAATAAGTGCACATGATATTACTGAATTTAAAGTCAATCTGGTGAATAAGTTTGTGCCAGTGGTTGGAACAGTGCTCAATCATCTAATGTTAATAATTTATCTCATTTCTAATATTGAAAAGAGGAAACTACACATCAGGCTAATGATAAATGAATAGCATCTACTCTGTGTGTAATGAAGAGCAACTTTTAATATAGAAAAAATAATGGAAAGCAAGCACAAATTGTTCTCACTGCCTAAATAAGTGGGGGTGAGGGTGGCAAGGGGAACATGATGGTAATTTAACCTATGACTAACATGCTAACAGCTATGAAAAATAGTCACTTCAACCAGGTAACTGTGTAATTAGCCATTTCCTCCCTGCTGTCACTCTTGGGAATTCCTTCCCCATTACTGTTTTCTCTCTGTTCCCACAGCACTAATCCCCATTACTACAAAACATTCACTGCCTGCCCACTCTCAGTTTTCACTCTGTTCTGGCGCTCGTCTAAGGCCAATTCAGAGCAGCAGATCAATGGCCTGATGGGTTACAGATGTCTTAGTGTTGGCCAATCACCATTTTGGGGTCTTAAAGCACTTTTGAGAATCCGATGAAAGTAGATTGTTTCAAGATACCCATACAGTCCTGTACAGAGAGCTTGCTGACCCCTGGAAAGCAGTCTGTGGAATCATATCCTAGATCTCAGACTAAAAACTCCTGCTTTAGAGTCTCAAAAGGGGCTGAGTCTTACCTTTATTCTGCATTTTCACCCCATACAACTTCGGAGTGGCGGATGGCAATAGAGAAGTGGACTTATAATCATCCTTCTGTTTACAAAATAGTGCTCCTTTTTCTAGAAGTGTGCCAAAAACTACCTGGCATGTTTTAGGAACAGCTCCAACCATATTTCTGCCAGTTAGAAATCTCTCATTTTACCAAAAAGAAGTTATTGTTGATTGTAAACTGGAGACAGCACATTATTGTCCCTCTCCTAGAAAATGTTTAATAAGGCTATTCTAATACCAGCTCCTGGATGTCCCTATGTTATTAGCAATTCTGTATCATGAAAATGACTTGTCCTGTTCAAAACTAATCTTAAGTCTATGAACCAATGTTTGCCTCAGATTCCTAAGTAAATGTTCAAGTTTTGGTTCTGTTTTTATATTTTTGAAAAATACTTGAGAGATTTTTCTCTGAGGCCATTTGGCAATTTAAGCAAATGAAGTCATTATTTCTTTCTGCCACAAATTGGTTTTTTTTGTTTTTCCGGTCTTACTCTTGATCCTAATGAACTGGAGAATATTCATAAACATGATTCCCTACCTATTTAGATAATGTGTTGTCTTTCCTCATTCCCATATCCTCGCAGTTATGTTCAGTAATTATACAGTTATTTAGTTTAGCATCTCTGGACTTTAGTTTCCACTAAAGGTAATTAGTTAATACAAATTTGGTTACTGCCTTGAAGTTTATTATGATAAGATCTGCCCAGTAATACCAGAGGCAAAATCTGATAAAGGTTAATAACTCCTTTGTATTTCTCTCTTTTAATAGTAGACAGAGTAATTATTAATATTAATTTATGCTTATAAGAAAAATTCTCAAAATAACCTTAAGTTAAAATACTTGAAGAACAAAGAAAGTAGACTTGAAGTAAATTGTTTAACAATCCAATTGTATGGCCCTTGACCAATTCACTCTCTCAGTACTCCTCCCACTTCTGTCTTTTAAACAGATTTTTCTTTGAGCAAATTTGCTCCTTTCCCTTTCCCCCGGTCCTAACTCATAGTCTCTGTAGAATCCTTGTGTCTGAAAAACCTTGCAAAGTGTCCTAAAACACTGATCTTCTACAAGATCTTCAGTGTTCATGTTTAAATCAGCAGTGCACAGATGTGACCCTGATCTCTGAATGCGGTAGAAAAGAAGTAGGGTATGGATGTTTTGTGAAGCGAGAAGTAAGGGTCACAGAAGGCAGCTGTATAAATTGTAGGTGTCTCATAGATTCATTTTGTAAATACTAAAGCCTGTTTACTAATCTGGACTACTGTGATAGTGACAATGTTACAGGAAAATAATTTGGAAAGTTAGTTACAAACCATATTTTTAGGTTAAAAAAATCAGCTGTTAGTAAGTTTTAAACCATATATATATATAATTTGTTGTTCTAACAAATTCTGGTCCAAATAATTGTTATCTCTGTCTCAGAAATTAAAATTTGTTAATTAATAATGCCTTTCTTAGGGTCAGTTTCTGTTTATAGGGGAAAAAAAAAAAGAAGAAGAATAGCTAGCATATCTTGCTAGAAACCAGTCAGTGTTCAAAGAGCTTCATGTGTAATAACCTATATTACCTGAATTTTACAAATCAGGATATAGAGGCCAAGACAAATTTAAGTAGCTTGCATAAGGTTAAAAGGTATATAAATAATATACTTCCTTAGAAATTCATAGTATATGGCATGAACTAAAATGAACCAAGTAGTGTATTTAAATAAATATGTATATATATTTAAAGACTCTTCTAAAATGATGTAGAACAAGATCCTTGGTTTATAACTCAAATTTTATGGACTCCCAGTATACAGTACTTAAAAGTTTATGAATAAGCCTGGTAATTAATTTTACCTTTATATATGGGTTCCCCCAAATCATCTTGTAAGTTAAAATCTGACAGAGCATTTTTGGCACAATTATATTTAAATATTGACCCTTTCTCATGTTTTCTCCATTTTCTTTTAGTTTTAATAAAGATAAAATGTCGACAAAGTTCTACAGTTTTAAATGTCATACAATTTTCTGTTTCACTTTTAGTTCCCTTTCTTCCCAAGCTGTTCATCTCAAGAGGCAAGTTAAATGCGTGTGATTATGAACTGCTCAAATTATTATGTATTTTGCAGATGGCTAATATGATTATAATATAGAACTATGTCAGTCAATTCAGTAATTATTACACCACCACCTAACTTAATTTATTTAAATTGCTGTTTTAGTTTGTAGTGATTGACCAATGTGAATTAGTACCTAAGATATCCTATGTAACTAAAATTTTCAATTTACTAATTATATTTTTACTTAAAACATTGAAATTATTTTAATTCAACTGATTTTAGTATAAAATCTCATTTGTTTTAATCTGAAATTTAATTTGGCAAGTTATTTCTTCAAACTTGTTGAGTAAGATTTAAAATTAACTCAAACTTATGTGAATTGACAAGTGAATGATTTAATTGATTGAAAGACTTTTCTCCCACTGATAAAATGTATTTCATTTCTTTTAGAGTAGTAATTCTGTCACATATTTGGAAACAATAGAAATATTTTACATAATAGAATTATAATGCATACAGATTCCTTTATTATTGCTTCCAAATGTTAGTAATTTTGCTAATTTAGGGAATTCTGAGTTAATGATGATGGTCCTTTATGCTTTATCAGTTCTGTAAGTGATAGAAAAATGTTTTGTCTGTATGTAAGCTATTATTGGAGAAGGCAATGGCACCCCACTCCAGTACTCTTGCCTGGAAAATCCCATGGACGGAGGAGCCTGGTGGGCTGCAGTCCATGGGGTCGCTAGGAGTCAGACACGACTGAGCGACTTCACTTTCACTTTTCACTTTCATGCATTGGAGAAGGAAATGGCAACCCACTCCAGTGTTCTTGCCTGGAGAATCCCAGGGACGGAGGAGCCTGGTGGGATGCCATCTATAGGGTCACACAGAATTGGACACGACTGAAGTGACTTAGCAGCAAGCTATTATTACCAACAATCCACCCATATACTTAATGTCAAATAACCGAAAAGATTTTCTGCAAGCCCACGCCACCAATGTTCAGACTTCTCTTTTCACCCAAAATGTCCTTGATACATCTCTGCATACATACACCATACACCATCATACACCATCCCTTATCTCCTATCAAAATCTACCCTTTTTAATACCTACTTAAATACAATACTTTATGAAATACTGACTAGCCAATCTTAGCTCCCCATAATAGTTTTTGGCAGCAACTTTTCTGTTGCCATACAGTTGACTCATTTAAAGTGCACAGTGGTTTTAATGATTTTTGTATATTTACAGTTATGTAACCATCACCACCATTTAAGAACATTTCATCACCCCAAGAAGAAATCTCATACTCTTTAGCTATTCCTCCCAAAATTCTCATCTTCCCTCCACATCCCTAGAGGACCATTAAACTGCTTTCTGTCTCCATACATTTGCTTATTCTGCACATTTCATATCAATGGAATCATATAATATGGAGTCTTTTGTGACTAGTTTCTTTTAGTTAACATAATGCATTCAAGGCTCATCCTTGTTGTAAGGTGTATGTCTTTTTTTACTGTGAATAATATTCTATTGTTGGACTGTATCACATTTTGTTTATCCAACCTTTGTTGTTTATCAAATGTTTATGGACATTTGGTTTGTTTTCATCTTTTGGCTATTATAACAATGCTGCTGTGAATATTCATTTACAACATTTTCTGCAAACATATGCTTTTATTTCTCTTGGGTGTATACCTAGGCATGGAATTGCTCGGTCAAATAACTATTTTTAACTTTTTGAGGAACTACTAGACTGCTTTCTGGAGAAGGCAGTGGCAACCCACTCCAGTACTCTTGCCTGGAAAATCCCATGGACGGAGGAGCCTGGTGGGCTGCAGTCCATGGGGTCGCTAGGAGTCAGACACGACTGAGCGACTTCACTTTCACTTTTCACTTTCATGCATTGGAGAAGGAAATGGCAACCCACTCCAGTGTTCTTGCCTGGAGAATCCCAGGGACGGGGGAGCCTGATGGGCTGCCATCTATGGGGTTGCACAGAGTCGGACATGACTGAAGCGACTTAGCAGAAGCAGCAGCAGCAGCAGACTGCTTTCCAAAGTGGCAGCATTATTTTACATTCCTGTCAGCAGGTATGCAAGGGTCCAATTTCTCCACATTTTTCCCAGTGCTGGTTATTATCTATCTTTTTATTATAGAT